TTTAAAACTTTAAAACTTTACCTGTTCAAGTTCAAGTGTGCAGGGGGTCGGGTTCCTCCCCCTGAAAATTTAGAATTAATTAGATGTGATTTCCTGCATTTTGGTGTATTTTAATGGATTGTTAAATATTTATGTGCTTGTAGATAAATAATGTTATTAACTTAATTTTTATATACGAATGATACCCTGTTGTGACTTGACACTATAAACTGAATTGAATTGTTATAAAAAAAAAATATATATATATATATATATATATATATATTTTTTTTTTTAATTATTATTTCTTTTTTTCTTTTTGCGGACCTCCAAGCACTGGCTTACGGACCCCCGGGGACCCAAGTTTGAGAACCACTGATATTAACAACATAAAAAAAAACACCGGAATCAAATAAATGGGCATTTTTAGCACAAAAAATCCACAAAAGCGTTTTTTTAGATGAGCAGTTTAGAAACTAATCCCTAGACTTTGCCAGCTTTGTGTTTTACTTGTAATTTATTTTATGGCGAACCTACGCAGATCATAAGTCACAGTGAACAACAAATCAGCAAATTTATTTTTATTTTTTCAATGTTGGAGCTTGTGGATTCAGTGCCGTTTCATAACAACTCTCTCTGTCTCTCTGCCTCTTCCCTCAGTGCCTGTGGATCCAGCATTAACAGAGCTTTTCAGGTCAGTGAGATTGGAAATGTGCACAACGCTCATGCACACATACAAAACACCACACAAACAAGAAGAAACTAGCCGAAGAGTTACAAATGTGGTGCACACCCCTTCACGCATGCAATTTGCCTATTGTTGTCTCAGCGCCAAGGTGGAGTGAGTCCAATAGTACCAGTCACCTTATTACCAACCTGAGACATTTCCACTTTTCTTTCACTGTTTGCCTTCATATCTCTAAAGTTGGCTTTTTTCTTTTTCTTTTTTTTTTGCTTTCTCTTACCCCCTATTTTCTCTCTTTATCCCTGCTTTGGTGTACGAACATCTCACTGCTTCTCCTTAGACATTTTAAACATCACAGTCAAACAGAACTAACAAAGCAAGCCACGATTTGTTAAAGTTTTCACAAATAAAATATTAAATGCTAGAATTTATCCTTTAACAAAACAAAAGAATGAGCAAAATGGTTTTGCTTTTGACTAAAGCGTTATTGATCATTCTTGGGAGAATAGTCATTTATCAGTTTCGTATCTATGCAGAACAACTTGCTCTCGCTGTTTATGCCTACAGCGCCAAAGTTTTCTTGAGCCGAGTGGGCGGAAGGGAAAACACAACTTTATGTCAAATTTGAAGTTTTTTCTTTAGTCAGTGAAAGTTTCCTCTCTAATAGCATTGTGTAAAATATTGCCACTGTTGCTAAAAATTGATTGTGCTCTGGTTATTATTTTTTAAGTGCATGTTTAAAAATTGCAGTTTAGTTGCCGTGAAGTTGACAAAGCATTATTGTAAGATTTTTGGTTTCTCTGGAGTTTTGAGAAAGGCGAAGAATGGAACTCTTCTATGCAATTGTAGGCTCTGGATGTGGCGCACATAGAATCCCCCCCCCCCCCCCCTAGGTCTGTTACATTATGAATGTTCTCAGTTACGGGAAATGTATATTATTCATGTCTGCACACCTGCCACCTCACTCCAACAGCCTGCTCGTCAAACCTCAAAGTTCCAGGTTGCAGCTTCATGAGTGCACTAACTAACAGTGCACCAGTACTTGGAGAAAAAAAATGTGTATATTTATATACATATTATATATGAGGACATATATATATGAGGGTTTTTTAAGTCAATCAACCAACTCATGCGTTTGCTCTCAAGACAAAAGTAGCAAAGTTACCTGTAACTTTGTATGTGTTGCATTGTGTATTATTATTTTATTAATAATTCATTCATTGTGCATTAAAGCTTCAAATTATTTAGCTAAAGTGTACTTGTTATTGTTATGTAGACTACATTTAGGTAGCCGCCCAGCAAGGAATTCGATTTGATTCGAATTTCCATCCATCCATTATCTTTTACCCGCTTCTTCCATTTTGGGTCACGGGGGTCACTGGTGCCCATGTCCAACAATCACTGTGCGAGGAGCGGGGTACACCCTGGACAGGTCGCAAGTCCATCACAGGGACGCATAGAGACAAACGAGACAAACAACCATTCACTCCCTCACTCACATCTAGGGACAATTTAGAGTTACCAATCAGACTAACATGCATGTTTTTGGTCTGTGGGATGAAACTGGAGTACCTGGAGAAAACCCACACATGCACGGTGAGAACATGCAAACTCCATCCAGAAAGGCCCCCGGACCGGGGTTTGAACCAGGGACCTGCTCGCTGAGAGGCAGCAGCTCTACTAGTTGCACCACCGTGCTGCCCTTGATTCGAATTTGATATATGAAATGATTACAGTGTACAGTTTATCGTGGAACCACGCCCACCTGTGAAAAGTGAAAAACTGCAAAGTGAAGATACAGTAGTTCAAGTTCAAGCTCAGTTCAAGTTCAGTAAACTTTGTCATGACATGTGCCAGGCTGCAATCACACTCACTCATCATCTGTTACTCCCAATTTCCCTCCTTAAATAAACCATTTAAATTTAAATACTGTAACGTTTCAAATAAACAATCCATGCAGCATGGATTGTTTATTTGAAACGTTACAGTATTAGAATGTACAG